ATTGTACTTAAAACATAGAATAATAAGCAAAAAAATAATTATAAGAATGTATATTATATATGTAGATTAACTTTAAGCTGATGAACAAGCGTACAAGGACGTATTTTTTTAGACAAGTCCTCCTTACATCATCTGCTAATAGATAAAAAAAGCAAAAAAAGAGAAAATAAGAAATTACATTTTTTCTGCAAACAGTACCGATCCATCAATTAAGCCAATAACTGATGCTAATTAGACTTAAGACGTTTTATAATAATGTAAAACATAATGTTTTTTGTTATCTAGGACCGTCCACTTACATTATTCTATAATTTATAAATAATATTGATTTAATGTATACAAATAATTATATATATATATATATATATAGTTTAAACATTTATGTAAAGAAAAATTTTAATCCTTGAATTATGAACAGTGTTGAAACGTTGTAAACTTGTGTTATTACATATTATGTACAAATTGACTTTAAAATTAATATCCTTGTTAATATTCTCTATACACATCATTTTACACAATCAAACATTTTATTAACTTGTTTAAAAAGTCGAGAGAATTACATAATATTATTATTGATATCTAATCATTTCGTGTTAACTTAATTTCCTATTTTTCTTTTCCTCCCTAAGAAAACACCTCCCCAGATAGTAATGTGTCTTGTTGCTTGCTAAGTATGTGTTGCTATCAGAATTGCAACAATTGAGTCCTTATTTATTGGTAACTATTATGCATTCACATATGACAACTTTGAGTTACTACTAGCAACTTGCCAGCAATTCAAAATTCATCATTAAAATATGTATTATTGCCATTATGTATCTATAATAATATGCGATATCACACAATACTATCATATTGCTGACACACAAGGTAATATATTGGGCGCCTTCAGCGAATTCAATAGTTGAGTGAGTGCTCGCTGCTATTGATGTATTCTTCTAAATCTAAAATTCTGATTGGATGAGCTAAAAGAATACACCAATAACAACAGTGAACACTCGTTCAACTGTTGAGTCCGCCCTTGTTACTTGCATGTTGCTGCTTTGTTGCTATTTGCTATTACTGTTGGTATATTCATAGTGGAAATATAAGGTGAAGTACTCCCGTGAATGGGCAGTAGGAAAGTGCATATTTGGGCATATTTGATTGGCTATTCCAATATAACCAGCGCTATTATACGTAGCAAAGTGCACATCGGATATATTTGATTCGCTATTTCCACTACTGCTACCGTCATTATGCGTAATGTTTCACTTTATATATTTTCATAGGTATGTTCGAAATCGTTGAAGCCAAATCTATTAGCAAGTTGCCAGCATCATAAGCAATTAGTAATCACAAATTTGTGCGATTTTGCTGAGACACGCTTTACTACTCTGGATCTCTATTAAATTATTTCTATTTCATTAAAATAATTAATAACTTGTAAATATATTAATAATTACGCAAATTTCTCAGGAGAACGAGATTGTCTATATAAAAATATAAATTTATATACTCTAGCGAATATTTCCCGACGATTATCCGTATCATACATTTCATCATTTTATCATATCTTATTGCGAGTAAACAGAGATCGTTAGGAAAGTTTCGATGAATCATAGGTACTACGCCACGCTGCTCCACACCACGCAAGTCGCTCAGTGAACGCATTGTTTTTTCTATTTCCAGTTTGTGTTTAACAATAAAAAATGGTGAAAAATTGTTGTATTAATGGATGTAGCGCATCATGGCGACCAGATGTTGATGTATCATTTGTCAGGTAGATTATTATTGTATATAAACCTCAAATTGTTATATAACCTCAAATCTAATTTTCAAACTTTTAATTTTGTTTCCTATATTCTTTTCAGTTTCCCGATGAAAAATATAGATTTGTTAAAGATATGGTTGGAAGTTATACCAAGAGGTAATAACATTTCAAAATATGCTCACATATGCAGCGCACATTTTGACGAATCACAATACGAATGTCTTTCTGGTAGACGGTTCTTAAAAAAGAATGCAGTTCCTACTATATTTCCAAAGGATATAGCCCAATTTGTAAGTAATTTAAAATAATTTAACTTTTTTATTTTATACGTAACACATACAAATATGTAAATTTGTTTGTTGTTTCTCTCCATTTATTCCTCTTCAATTGCCTCAATAATTGCAATAATTATGATGCGCCGTACATTGGACAGACGAGCAGACAATTAAAAACAGAATTACAGAACATCGTAATCATATTAGACATAACACTTCTGTCCGTTGTCGGAGCACAGGCTGCAGTATGATCATGATTTCTAATGGGATAATGTTAAAATTTTAGATGAAAAACCTTACTATAAAAAACGCTTAATTTCCGAGATACTCAATAAGAATCAGAAAAATAGTTTGAATTTACAAACACTGAAGGTCATAAGACATATATACTCTATATGTAAATGAAGTTTGACTTTTCGATACTGACAGTCCGTTTCTTCTCTCAGTCCGTGGTGATCCGTATCAGCGAGCGATATTATACATAATAATTTATTCACAATGTCCGTCTTACACATCTGCGTTCTACTTGTCTTTATATATTCTAAAAGTTTTTGTATACTTATGTAGACACACTTGTTTGAATAAATTTTTACATAAATTTATATATGATTTTTGGTGATTTTTATTTCTTATTATATTTCCGGTATGTGTTAATTTATTTGCGTGTATTTTTTCGTAAGAAGTTTTTTTATCTTTTTTATCAATTAGAACTTTTCCAAAATATTTGAAACACTTCTGACTGTTCAATCGTACGGAAATAATGTCGAGTTCTACATCAACACTCACCCGAACTGTGAATGTAATGAATATGCGAACAGTTACGATAATTAATTTTGTACTACGATTTTTTTCGATATGTTAATGTCTGAAGAGGGCTCAATCCGATAGCCGAAACTTGTAATTTATTTGTATTTTAACTGAGTTTTTATTTATTATATATTTATTTTTTATTTTTTATAGAAGAGAGGGACGATTTTTTCGCTGATTGACAGAACATTTTTACTATCAGACGTTAAGTTTCACACACAGAATTTGACATTTATTATCAACATTTTATTAGACAATGATTATCCATTATCCTTCATTTTTGACACAATCAACCTACGAATAAAAAATTTGATTAAAAATAGATACATAACACATAGCAGTTTTACTGACAAGGTCGAGACGAATGAATCTGTTTCTTGGCTTACGATTCCATTCATTCCTCTCCATACGGAAAAGTTCAATCGTTTCAATAAAAACGACATCAGGGTATCTTTCCGTAGTCCTAATAAATTGAAAAAATACATCAAAGTACATAAAGATATTTGTCCACACACATCGAAGAACAACGTGGTCTACAAGATTTCATGTAAAGATTGTGACGCGTCATACGTGGGACGACGGGTATAAAATTAAAGACCAGGATTGCTGAACATCGCAATCACATTAGATACAACACTCCTCGATCTGTCATAACTGAGCATAGGAGACAGCTCGATTATAAATTTAAATGGGATGAAATCGTAATTTTAAACGAAGAGCCCTGCTATCGGAGATGTTTGGTTTCAGAGATGCTTAATATCAAAAAGCAAAAGAATGGTCTAAATTTACAAACTGATACCGATGGCCTCCACAAGGCTTATATTCCCATCATAAATAAAGTTTGACTTTCCGTTACTAACAGTCTGTCTCCTCTCTCAGTCTTTGTTGATCCGCACTACTAAACGCACATAATAATCGACACGTAATGTCTGTCTTGCACATCTACGTTCCTTCTTACTGTATATATTTTAAATGTTTTTCATTCCTTTTTGGACACGCTAATTTATATTTCTTACACATGAATGGTGAGTTTTCTGGTGAGTTTTTATTACACAATTTTATTATTTTTTATTAGACTTCCGGTATTTTATCTCATTTATGCGTAGATTTTTTGGTACGTTTTTTTGTTTTTTAATTTAATCTTTCTATCAACTTATCTTTTTATCAACTAGAACTTTACCAAGATATTTTTAATACATTTGATTGTTCAATCGTTCGGAAACTACGTTTAATTCGACATCAAGACTCACCCGATATGTGATTGTTCCCGATATGCGATCTTTTGCGACAATTGTTTTTTTTTTTTTTTTTTTTTTGTTTTTTGTTCTGCGATTTTTTCGTTATATTAATGTCTGAAGAGGGCTCAAACCGGTAGCCGAAACTTGTAACTTTTAATCATTTCTTAATTTACATTCTAATTTTTGCGTTATGTAATTTTTTACCTCATTTTTAATATACATTTTTGTGAATTTTAAAGAAATGTGTTGACTCTTACTTTGCTCTTTATTTATTGTTATATAGGAAGTTTTATATAGGAAGAGTCCTTTCAATCTGTTAAATGTTTTTTTGTTATTTTATAGAAAGAAATAGTTGAAGAAGTGGAAAAATTATATCCAAAATATCAAAATGTCGTGTTAGAAAGTATAAATAACAATAATTTTCATGATCATTCTTATTCGAAAATGCAAGAGACATTTCTTGTGTCGTCAGGATTAAATGAAACAGACAAAGCAATACAGGTCACTCCTCGAACTCAGGTTTGTAAATTTTCATTCTAAAAGAAATTTTTTTATATTTTATATCTATTTATTTGTATATTTTTTACATATTATCAGAGCGTAAGTACGCAAACATCATCAAGAACAACTGAAAAAGAAAAAGAATTACGATATCGAATTAAGAGTCTTCAATCCAAACTGCGTCGCAAAGAACGGAAGGAACTGAAGAATATGAGGATACCGATTAAATATTCGCCGATTGTTAAAACATATAAAAAAAAATTGTAAATGCTTATATCAGTTGGATCATTTGTGTACTAAAAGTTTTAAATGATTATTTGATTTACTAGAATAAGAACATTATGTAATTCTATCAATGTTTCATATTGCTGATATTTAAAAAAAATGTATATTAGTCAAGCATAGGCTTAATTAATTTTTATATCAGCATTATTTATAACTTTATGAACAAGCCTACCATCAGTTATGGTTTAACACTTTGACTATCAAATTGACTTTGATATTGAATTTAATAGTATAGTATAGATATTTTATTTGTTTCAATACTTAATTTTTGATGATTTTACATAATGTATATATTGTTTCTTTAATGTCTCAATTGTTTAATAAAATTGTTTCAAAATCAGGTAAATAAAACTCACCTGTAAATAAAGTAATAATATCTACGAAAATTTAAATGTCAATCAAATATAAATGATATGGCAAAGTGTTAAAAAAGAATATATAATTTTAGAAAAATATCTTTTTCTGTGTATTTTCTGTCCTATAATTATACATTTAAAATATGTAATATAATACTAATAAAAGGATAAGCAATATAAATTTTAAGTATACAATTATTGACTTTTTAATTGATTTATTATTAAATACCAGTTTTCCTTCAAAAAAGATAAAATCTTTTTTGTTACAATAAGAAAAAAAGAAAAAATTATCACTTGAGGTTACTCTGTCAAATCACGAGTGATCACGAGTTGAAGTAATCTGTAATTATATGTTATGCATTGTCATATAGATCCACTCGGCATTGCTTGTGAAAATGAATGTAAAAATACGAATAATCAGAATAATTGATACGTTGTCACTTTATGAGAAAACGCTTTGCCTAAACGATTAATGTCTTGACTTATGCTTCATTTAATATTATGTAACGATTTGTACCTTATTGATTCATTTTCTAACCTCAACAAGTGTGATGCTCGTTTTACGTGGACTCCAGAATTCGAATTCTTTCGTCGTGTTGGGTGGCCTCGCTTTGTGTCTTTTATTTATGATTCAAATCAAACAAATTTATAATAACAATCAAAAATATAATAGATATCTGAACTATAAACAATATGTGAGAGTTCCTTGTAATTATATAAATATTAATAATCAATGTGTAGTTAATGTTTTTATTTATTCTGTAATGTATTTGAAGGTAAAACATTTAATTATACATTTTTAGATGAACGAAATAGCGACAGAACTGAGGACAGTGATAAAATCCATCAACAAATCATCGGCTTATGTTCATCAACTAAATGAAATGCTTATCAAGTATCGCGAAAGAGAATCAAAGAATACCTCAACGTCAAGAGCAACTTTATCTTAAACACTTTAGGAATTAGAATTTCTAAATGCAAAAGGTTGGTAAATTATAATTAGATTGTAAAAGCCTGGTTTTATATTGTATCATTAAATTTTTTTTATTTTTCTCTTTCTCATACTTTATAAATGAGTATTGCACATTGTTATTTATATATACTATACTGAGTATTAAATTACAGTACTTATTCTTACTATTCATCAGATATAATAAATAGTAAAAATTCTCTATTATAACTTATATTCAATACTTATTATTACTACAAAAATGCATATTAGAATATAAAATTATAAAAAAGAAAATGCTGTATGTGTGTATATAATATATATGTATAATGATTATCAATGAATATCAGGAAAATATCAGGAAGCTTCAATCGTTTAAATTATTCAGTGGCATACATTGAGAATTACTATTTTGTCCAATATTCTCTAGAACACCATCTGGTGCACACAACCATGGATCCTTTGTTATCTCTAACCAATTGAACAATCGTTTTTGAAGTTCAACAAATATGTCCTGAAATTTAGAATATACATAAAACATTAAAATATATTTATTATATTTAGTTAAGAAATGTAATTAATATATAATTATATATACAATATTACCTTTGCGGACGCTTTTGAAGCTATATTATTTAATTCTTCTGGATCATATTTTAAATCGTATAATTCCCATTCTGGTCTCTGATAATATTTCTTTAATGTTTTGTACCATGGTAAAGACTGATGATTTCTTGTTTTATTTAGAATGTCCTGCATTTATAATATAATAATAAATTACTTATAAATATTAATAATTTGTTCTAAAACAATTTCAACTCTAGTTAAAAAAAAGATAATATCTTTTGAATATTTTTTTTTTTTTTCAGATTACCTGGAACGTCGGAGATACGTAAAAGTCCTGATCAATAGGAAATGGCATTCTATAGTTGATATTATGTATAAGTTTGTGACGTTTAGTTCTAATTGCACGCATAGGATAATACATGGTAACTTCATGATGTGTTTGGCTAGCAAAGATTGCCGTATTATTTTCTACAGGTTCTATAAATGAAATATCAATTAATTTCACAGTATAATCTCTCTGACAGAAGACAGCATATACATATTGCATTTAATAAACATACATATTATATATACCTTCGAGAAGTAATGGCAAAAGTGATTTTCCAGTAAGTTCCAGAGAAGATACTTCATTAGAATCTTCATCCAAGTAAGTTACATTGAACCAATCTAAAATTGTCGGTACTATGTCTAGTAAAGATGTCATGCTGTAAGTAACGCTGTTTTTTCTATGGCCATGGATTGGTGATGACATCATCATGGGTTCAGCCAAACCTTTAAATGTTTTTTTTTAATATTTGATTGTGTTTTTTAAAATACTAACGTTCTGTCTGTTAGTTTTCGTTTTTTCAATACCTAAATATAACTAAATATACGAACCTGGATCGTACAGATTTGTACGACCATTCGGGAAAGGTATGCCATTATCGGATGTATAAATTACCAATGTGTTGTCTTTGAATCCTGCATTTTCCAATTCTTCAAGAATAAGGCCAACGCCTAAAACAATTTATATTCCCTTTAAATACTGCTTTTATATGATATATAAAAATAAAACATCTTATCTTGTAATATATTAGAAACATATATTTGAGCAATTTTTAAGTAACTAGAAAGACCTTTATCTAAACGAGATATGGTTGTATATTGAGCAGCAATATCTCTCCGAGCAGCTTCGGTATTCTGAACATAGTAGGGCACTTTAACTTGCTCCCATTGATAATATATTGGATTCCAATCGGGAATTGTACCCATTCCGACGTCACCATTACCAAATTTTTCACAAAAATTGCCGTATTCTGGATGAGTGTGCCCACAGCGATGTGGGTCATGAAAGGCAACATATAGAAAGAAAGGTCTGCAAAATTTTTTAATAAATAAGAAAATCCAAAATAATAAATATAATGAAAATTTAATAGTAATATAATTTTTTGAAATGTTCAAAATAATTTAGCATGAATTTTATTATACATGATACAAAAAATCAATATATCATTTAAAAAAAATAAAATTATGTACAATACAAGCATTATATATAGAATATTACTTACTGTGTTTTATTTTGTGAAAGAAATTTACGGACTAGTAATTTTATATAAGTAATATTGCGGCCTACTTGAAGAATAGAATTATTTTCTTCTGTATGTGCAAAATCAAATGGATAAACATTATTTGGGCCTACATGTTTCTTGCCAATAATTCCTGCACAAAGAAAATATTCAAATTATGATAACACAATTTATAATGATATAAATCCATTAATTATTACCTGTCCGTATATTGTTTCTCTTTAATATTTTTGGCAAACTTTGAATATTATCAAAAGAATTAAAATGATGAATCCCATGATGAAGACCATACATTCCATTTTGGTGACTTGGTAATCCAGTTAATATTGCGGAGCGGCTACAAAAAAATACACAGTTCAAGATTTATATCTTTATTAATTAGATCCAATTTGGATATAACAACAATACCTTGGTGAACAGCTACTGACTGATGTATATGCATTATTGAATAGTAGACTTTCCTTTGCTAATTTATCCAAATTAGGAGTCTGACATATTTTATTCAGGTATGATCGCATTTGAAACCCAGCATCATCAGCTGTAAATTAATAAATAAACTACTATTTTACATAATAAAAATTCTAGATTATGGATTTAAAATGAATTTAACTGCAAAATTATAAATGTACCTAATTTTTTCTAGCTAAAGGAGTTTGTATATTTTGATTTTGTTCATTATATATTTATATCATTTCTTATATTTAAAAATATATAATTTTAAATACTAAAAATATATTTTTTAGTATTTAACATTTTTATATTTTTAAAAAAGCTATTTGAATTTATATAAAACTATTACGATTAATTTATTTCATCAATTATTTTATAAGAATCGTAAATGTAATACTCGCGGATTACATTTACGAAGCACGCATTAAAAAGGTACTTTATGTAAATTACCTAGCAACAGAAGTACATTAGTTTTAGCTGTATCAGTTTTTCCATTTATGTTAGGTAATCGCGATAAGATAATACCCAAAAAACATAACAATTTATTCAAACAGCAGTTCCACAACATCGTATGTTATATGAATACACTTGTGTGCGCGAACAGTGCGCATGCGTGTGTGTGTGTGATGCGTGAACCTGTGCAACGTGCAACACGTGACGACAAGTACTGCCAATAGTACCAATACGAGCGATCAAAAATTTTCTATTTCGCGATAAGCAGCATGTGATAAAGAATCGATTATCTATCACATCACTGTCTTGCCGGGCGGCACACATTGTATACCATCGTGTATGTATATATGACATATATGTATATAATGTACATCAAAGATACAATCGTTCCATTTCAAATATATCATCGACACAAAGCAATGCAAAGTGCAATTGAAGAGACGCGCGTTTTAAAAAGATACGCTCCGAATCTAGTACATTTTTTACCATTTGATTGGTACACACACTTTTTAACATCTGGCAACACTGTGCTAACAATACCGACACGTCAGACCCGGCCACGTATATATACCCACATATATGCCTCATTTTATATTTTTTTAAAATATTATATTTTTTGTTTCGAACATAACTTCTTGTCACCGAGCAAAATGCTGTTAATCGCATCATATATTTCCAGCGTCTTTCTCGGGAGGCTCCGAGTCGCTTTCCAAAACAATTCTATTTACATGGACAAAGTGTCATTGCATTTCCATTAGGATAGGTTACATTTACGCTCTTTTTCCTTCCAAGTTTTTTTCATATCCTTTAAATTTAATTAATTGAATTACTGTGAGCACGTTCTTCGTTACAGTACAAATATCTATATAATTGAAATCGAATGAATTATGATTGAAAATGATTTGTATCTAATTTATTACTCCGAATTATATTTTCTTAGAGAGGAAAAAATGAGGCAGTTGTTAACCTGACTCTTTAACTTGGCATATGATTTAAAATATCTTATTCTTCGATAATCTTCATCTCAAAACAGATTATTTGTAATAAAAAAATTAATCTATAATT